CTTTACAAAAGATTGTAAAAAGAAATATAATTTTAACGGAATTTTTACTACGATATTTTCCCCGTGCACAGAGAGATCTCTCACAGCAGGATTTATTCCGTACTCGACGTTAACGATATACTCTACTGCGTCTCTCTCTCTCTCTCTCTCTCTCTCTCTCTCTCTCTCTCTCTCTCTCTCTCTCTCTCTCTCTCTCTCTCTCTCTCTCTCTCTCTCTCTCTCTCTCTCTCTCTCTCTCTCTCTCTCTCTCTCTCTCTCTCTCTCTCTCTCTCTCTCTCTCTCTCTCTCTCTCTCTCTCTCTCTCTCTCTCTCTCTCTCTCTCTCTCTCTCTCTCTCGCTCTCTCGATACATATAGTCACCCTTAATTATCTCGTAAAAAGAGGTGTTTTCTAACGTTTCGCGATAATAGCATACGCGGCGTTAAACCCTTGCGTACGATTGACGGCGAGCAGAGAGCGGTGGCAGTGACCCATGACCCGGATCGGAAAGTGGGTGCCAGAGGGGCGTGTATGCACACCCGGCGAGGCCGAGGGTTGGAGTTAGGGTAGGACACCACCGAGAATCGATTTTCCCTCTTGGTGGGCTCTCTCCGCCCTCAGCGCGCAGGAAGGGAGGACGGATCGAAGGGAGAGAGGGTCCTGGCACAGAGAGAAGAGCGAGCGAGCGAGCGAGCGAGTGAATGAGAATGAGTGTGAGGAAGGTAAAGAGAGCCGGGTGTATACGAGGGTGACATATATGTGTGTATGAGTGTGTGTGTGTGTGTGTATGTCTGTGCGCGCGCTTTCGCGTGCAGGTGTGTACGCGTATTTGTGTGTCTGTCGCGAGCGCACATGAGAAAGAGAAGAGTGTTCTCTCTCCGGAAAGGTGATAGAGGCAGCGATGCTATATAGAGAAAGGGAGGATGAAGGCGAACAGGAGCACCAGGAGGCGAAATGACGAGAAAGAAGAAAAGAGAGGGAGAAAGGGACGGAGCGCGGGAGTGAGCGAGGAAAGGGCGAGAGGAGGCTCCCTTGAGCGCCCCAGTGATATTCCACCCTTTTTCAACGTCCGCTTCCGTCCTCCGTCGTGGCGTGTGCGCGCGCTATCGTCGGCGTGCTTCCTGTAGGATTCTGCGGCATCTTTCGTCCCGGTCTGAGACTCCTCCAAGCGGGAACACTCCTCTCGCCATGGAGAGAAGAGTGAGGAGAGGGATAAGGGAGAGAGAAAGAGAAAGAGCAACCGGCTCAACCCCGGCCGACCTAGGAACGTGGTTCGATCGAAAGAGGAAAGTTGACACTGTCGGAGGGCTCCGACCGCCTCTGATAACGTTATTGGCCCGTATTCTAGCGGCGCATCTAAACGTTAAAAGCGGTCACCTGATTCACATGTTGCGGATTTAAAGAAGAAACATGAACGCGCTTCTTCTTCTCTCTCTCTCTCTCTTTCTCTCTCTCTCCTCCCCCTTTTTTATTTTCTTCTTCACCCCTTATTTGTATCTCTTTTCTTTCATCACATCGCGAGAAAAGGCTATGGTCGTTTGGATCGGTTGGTCAATAAATACGCGACGAAGGTGATTCGGTAATTTTGTAACAGCTGGGATACATGGCTCTGCGACGAGAGATATACAATATCGTAGCGACACGCTATCACAATCTGGACACGAAATCGATGCAAATGTGATAATACGGTTTATTATTATCTCCGCGGTTCTATTCCAGCGTCGGAGATACGTGCGTAATGTGATGATGTAGTCGATATAGTATAACGATGAGGTACAGCCGATATAATTATACAATATGATGAATATCACGAGCAATAGTCGTGAGAGATCGGTGCGGATATAATAACATGATTTATTATTATCCGACAATCCTACGCACGGGGGAAATAGAAATATGTGTGTGCGTGTGTACAATTTGATACAGTCAATATATAACGAAGTGATAAATGCAAATATACAATGTGAGGAATAGGGGAGACCGGGGCTAGTTGACTACTGGGGTAAGTTGGCAAAATCGATTATTTCTATTGTTCTTTAACAGATTTCAGAATCAAACAAGCAAAACTTTCAAAGCCATGTTTAAAAATCTTCTTACTCAATTTGGTAACTTGTTAGAAAATGGCAGAAATAATCAGTTTTGCCAATTTACATCCAACTACTCTCGGTCTCCTAATTGTAAAATATAACTATAATATGATTTATCGTCGCGTAATAATACGGTTTATCGTCCCCTCGGAACGAAGTCGCGTCCCGCTGAGGGTTCATTTTTAATGAAACGGAAGTGTCGTCGTTCCAGATTATTCTTCTGAACGAAATGATAATCGTCAAAGACAAAAAGACCGGTGGAGAGTACTTTGCGCGCAACGCGTTTTAAACACGCTTCTCGGAGAGCGGCCCTTCCCGCTCTGTCGCTTTTACATGCCTCTTTGAAGGCGCTTCGCAAAAATTCCAAACCCAAATGAACTTTGCGCAGTTGACGCAGTTTCGGAGAAGCCTGAGAAAAAAAGCGCAGGCATCCAAATTTCTTCATTAGTACTCGATTACGTAGTTGATGAGCGTTTTTCTTTTTATTTAATTTCTCTTTATACAGTTTCAAGTACTTATATAAGCGCCGTTGTGTGAAGATCTGATACATACATGAAGAGAACTTTATAATAAAAACATCCAAAATTGCTGTAGAATTTTGTAACCGAGGAATAAATTAATATTCTGCACCAATTGAGAATATCCTTTTATATGTGCTATTTACATATTAGTGAATGAAATGTGCTATGAAAAAGTTTGCTGTCTTTCTGGCGGAATTCATTGTGTTCTTTACCAAGATAGACTTCACAGTGACAATCTATTTCTGTACTACTGAAAACATATTGTTCAATTACCGATTTGAACTATCTTTTATCGATAAAAGAGAAATGAAAGCCATTGTAAAATGGAAAGGAATTTATATGAGAAAAAGTGATATTATCTCTATAATGATACTTAGAGTAAGTAAAATTGGAACTAGTTTTTCTGATTAACTATTTTTTCATGTATATATATTATGTTTTCTCTTTAAATCTTTATAAATTTCGAAGGTACAGAGAGGACAAATTCGAGAAACTTGAAAAACATAGGACGGCACATGTAGAACTGAAGCATATGCAAAGCGACATCACGAACTTTCTTTATGCGCTTTGTAAGACAAACTTAAATCGATAAAATATTTGCGATGGAAAATTTCGTGACAACGATGTCTGCGTCACGTGTACCTCTTTCGATTTGTTTCATACATCTTTGTTCCAAGTATCTCGATTTTTGTGATGTAAGTTGTCGTGAACGACGTTAACTTACATTCCGAGTTGCATCTCGAATCTCCGTGAAATAGAAATTTAAATGTTTTCATAATTTGACTTTTACGACACATGAATTTTGTGGTATATATTGCAAAATTTTTATACCTCATTTCGTCCACATAAGCGCGAAATTTATAGTCGCGATTACTTGTGCTCGAAGGTGCGCGACCAGTATCGAAAATTTGATTCGCATCCACATCACACAAAAGAGACACGTTTCGACCACATACGGACGTGTGGAGTGGCTCTCACGATAACGATGTGGTTGATTGACGATGATTGTTATCGCGAATGCCTCGCGATCGATCGAAACTAGTTCAACTTGATTTTGACGAATTCGCGTTGCTACGTTGTCGAATGCACGGATATTTGATGTATTCTCTGGATCTTTTCTTTTCTCACAAAGCAATTTGAATTAAATGCGTATTCGGTACGGATCGAGAAATTTATAAAAATATCAGCAAGATGGATATACCTTGCAGCGACGCTTGTTAAAAAATAGTGATAATATTTTGTAACAGTTTTCATTCTCGGATATGTAACGTCTGCTCGTCATGTCAGTTTAATATGTTCTCCTTCAGCTTACATAAGAAGAGAACTTGGTTTACGTTCCTTAACTATCCAACACATATCCATTCATTTCTTATTTCTACTTGTCTAATTATTAATATATATCTCTACAGTTAAATTGCTTCTCTCTAATTGACTTTACAATATTATTCTCGTTACCTAAATACCTTTGTAATCTCCTTTCACGATCTTCTTAATTTTCACCTAACCTTTACACTACCTATTCATATCTTCTTCATATCACAGCATCTCTATATTTATCATGTCTAATTATACTTTGTTATTTCACTCAACAGATATCATATATTATCTTTATATACGATACTCTAAATTCTGTCCATTTTTGGCCCCAACTATATTTTTTGATTAGTTGTTCTAACGTAATAAAATAATAGTATTAACAAAAATAATACCAGCAATATGCATGTAAGATATTATCATTAACATCATAGTAGAATTTAATAAGAAAATAGTTTTCTTGACCATAATTTATGGTAATTTTTTATCTATGTGATTATAATTACAAATATCAAACATTTTCTTCTTAGTGCATCGTTGCACGTAGTTATTGAGAAAATATCTTACACGGGTTGATTTTTACAGTAAAAATTACCATGAAATAGCCAAATAAAGTATATGTCAGGTAAATCGTTAAAAATTTACTATGTATATATATATATATATTTCTATAATATAATTTATACTATATACTTCTAATAATATACTATATACTTATAATATATACTTCTATAATATAATTTATAATACAATTTATACTACAATATAGTTTTGCTTCTTAAGAAAATATGGTGAAAGGAAATATAATTTTAATATAATTTTTACTACTTTATATTTTCTTCGTGCACGCCACTAGAAACATAATAAAATCAAAAAGAATTTATTAAAAAGAAAAACTATAATATTCTCTCTTCCTCTCTGTGTAAAAAACACACACGATATATTTTTATTGTCGCGTGAGCGAAGCGCGTCGAGATGGCGGGAGGTCGAAAGTAATTCGCGTGCAAATATTCGGGAGAACCGTCTCGGGAAATCTCGCCGAGCGGAACTCGCGCTCGCAGGTGATCGTTGCTAATCCCAATTGTTCTCTTCTGTTTCAGTTTTCTAGATAAGGTAGCCATCGTAAAACAGCCGGATTACACGCCCACAGAACAGGTGATTATTATTGTAACCCTTTCATTGAAGAGTAGCCGAGTTACTGTTGTAACTCTTGGGATCCGCGATCGGATTTCACTCCAGGTGACGCGTAAATGTGAGCTTTATCCGCGTTTATCCGCGACAATGAAAACGATTCGCTCTCGAGATTTTGACAATTCGCAGCGCGATTCGTTGACGCCGCCGGGCGGAAGAGTCAATGGAATCCACGTGACGCGCATTCCACATGATGCACGCGTATGTATGTGTGTGTGTGTGTGTGTGTGTAATGTGCTGTATTTTATGTTTCAGGATATCCTGAGGTGTCGAGTTCTCACATCCGGCATTTTTGAGACGCGGTTTCAGGTCGACAAAGTAAACTTTCAGTAAGTCCTACGCGATGCACACCGCGACTCGCGCTTAACTCCAATGTCGTACGGCTATATATAGCCGACGTATTACAGTAACATCGGCCGACGGTAAATATAAACGCGCGAAGCGGCGGCGCGCATCTTAGCCGCCTGCCTATATATTGTACGCCTGCCGGCGACTTACACTGTATAACACTGTGTAAGCTGAAATCCGTTAACCGCGTTAACGCCTCCGCAACTTTATAACATTTTCCCTCTTTACGTTCACTCGCAGGTCACGTACGGCGCTCCACATTATTTTCTATAGGCCCAACTCTCTTTGTCGCCGCCTTGCCGCCATGCGCCGGCGTAATTTGATATTCGTAGATGTCGTAAATTCAACGCTTGGCGCCGCAAAGCCACGAGCCGAACAATTGGGATATATTATCAAGTGTTGCTCTTCTTCTTGCAGCATGTTCGACGTCGGCGGTCAACGCGATGAAAGGAGAAAATGGATACAGTGCTTTAATGACGTTACGGCAATTATATTCGTCACGGCGTGTAGTAGTTACAATATGGTACTCAGGGAAGACCCTACGAAGTTGAGACTTAGAGAGAGTCTCGATCTCTTCAAAAGTATTTGGAACAATCGGTACGTCGTTGCGATCGTCTTATACTATACCGAGATTCATTCGCCAAATCGATCGTGTGAATCTCGACGGCGAGATTATTTACGATGTGCCTCTTTCTCTCTGCAGGTGGCTCCGCACGATTTCTGTGATCTTGTTTCTAAACAAGCAAGATCTGTTAGCGGAAAAAATTAAGGCGGGCAAGCATAAATTGGAAGACTACTTTCCGGAGTTCGCGCGTTACCAGACACCAGTGGAGCCTGGGGTGGTCGCGGATCCCACGGAACCTCCTGATGTTATAAGGGCCAAGTACTTCATCAGAGACGAGTTTCTCGTAAGTGCATCGATACGCGTACACAATCGTTCCACAATACTCGATTATCGAATTTAGTTCGCCGATATCTCAACTTTGCACTCGCTCATTATTCTTTTTCTTTTTTCTCCGCAGCGCATAAGCACGGCGAGCGGTGACGGCAAGCACTACTGTTACCCGCACTTTACGTGCGCCGTCGACACGGAGAATATCAAGAGAGTGTTCAACGATTGCCGGGACATCATTCAGCGGATGCATCTGCGCCAATACGAGCTCTTGTGACTTCGTTCCTGTCGACGTGTCCTGTCATCCATTCGCCTGACCGTTACGCTCGTGCTGCATTTGGAGCCGCTGCGAGCCGAATGAACCAACCGTAACTGTGAGGAGGAGGAAGAAGAAGAAGGTAATCGCGAGGACTCGCGAGCCCGCGCCGTCGCGAGAACATACGCCTCGCGAGGGCGTGCGAAGGTAACGCGCGGTGGTGGGCTTCTTCTTCGCCCGGAGAACCCAGCCGGTAAAACACAGCCACAGAGAGGAGCCACGAGCCGCGTCCAAGACCCTCACGCCTGCGGACAGCAGTGACCGCGAATCAACCGCCGTCTCTCCTCGACGGCGTGATCCAGGGAGATCGCGCGTCCTGCTTCTCGATCGTTGGACGGAAACGGCCCCCTCCGGGCGTGATTTTCGATCGCTCGACTCTCCTTTGAGTTATAGATTGAAGAGAGTGTGCTGAACGTTCACCGAACACCGACGGGAATGGAAACCCTCTCGTCGTGTCTCGATCGTTGTGTGTGAAGCATCACTTGTTTCATTTCATTCCTGTCGCGCGCGCACGCGAGAACGCGGATTCCGTCGTGACTCGGGCCAATGTCGTCGCCGTTGGATGCGACGCGCTTCCGACGGGCTCGGGTAACGATTCTCTCGTTCAACACACTCTTGACGTGGATTATTATTGTTCAGGTTAGCTTTAAGGATGTTTCCTAAGACTTAGACAAACCTCTCCGGTAAAGAAAGAAAAAGAAACAAGAAGATAAACTCTTTTATCGTTTGACTTTCCCCTTACTCGTTTTCGAATCTCTACTTTTGCCTTGCTCCTCTTCTTACATCTCGCTTATAATCTCCGCGTCTCTTATTTCCCTAGCTTATCTTTCGTTCGACAATTCGTTGATTTCTCGACTTCCGAATCTCGATTCTTTATTACATTGGCCCGACCCGTAGGAGTCTCAGCCGCGCCCTTTTTACGAGAAGAGTATTTTGTGAGATTTTACAGTATTTCGAAGAGCGTTTTAATTGTATAACTATGTATCGAGTATGTACAGGGTGACCGTCCACGGATTCTCATGTTTTTACATACGTTTCTTACGACCGAGGTCTCTCACGGATATGGATTTCCCTTCTTTTTTTTACCGATATATATATATATATATATATATATATATATATATATATGTATGTATGTATATGTATATCATACGTCGAGTTACTTTAGTTACTGTACTTAGGCACACGCGCTATTGCAATAGCAATCGTCTGTATGTATTATATCTTAGCCCACGTAACAGATGTGCCACGTTCTCAAATTGTTCGTTTTACGCACGCGTCTAATTTCGAGATACGTTGCACGCACGACACTTTTTCAATTTTCGCGCAAGAGTAAAAGTCCGTTATTTTCGCATCTCGCCGATTCTCAGCGGATTCGTCGAACGCACCGTATCTCGCGCTTTCGGAGAAATCGTCACGCCCTGATGATATGTGGTAACGTGTACAAATTTTTATGCGAATAATCCGATAGTCAATCACGATGGAGCATTTTTATGGTATAAATATTCCGGAACAACCACAGTCGACGTGTGTGAATCATATTGCACGTTGTCGCTATAGCTTCACGTTTCCTCGTCGTCGCTACTTGGACACCCTGTATGCGGTGCTGTGAGAAGCCATTTTTTTCCCTCGAATTTCATTACTTTACCAGTTACACTTTAGTCGATGTTATGTTGTAATTACGGGATTCTTATGTGCGCGCAATAATGTACGTACATAAGTAAGCTGACGTAGCCGTGACAAGCGCAAACGAAAGTAACCAAATGACAGTTACTACTCCAATCTCCTTTCTAACGAAACACAGATATCAAATGTCTTTCTTATCTATGGCATTCATTTGTTAAGTTGTCGCGCATATCTGTAACCATGCGATAATTTTGCAGGAATAGAAGAGAAAACTATTTTCGGCGGCATATATATCAAAATTCTACCATGTGTTAAGAAAAAATTGGCTATTGTTGTATACTTGTAATCTCGAGGAGGGAATATTCTGCGTTCGCCGATAGGTGAGGAGATTTCGATGAACGCGTCAACGTCAGAATGCCTTGCCGACTTCGACCTCATAGGAGCGTGAAGAATACTCGATCCACGTGTACACATCGTTGCGCGCTCGCTTACGGACTGCTTCCAGATAGTGCACACATGTGCGCATATGATACCGTATCGTTGGTATCGTTTCGCACATACGCGTACTTGCTCGTACGTGAAAGCAGATCGTACGTGTTCCAAAGAATCCCGTAAGCCACGCATACACTACTGCAGCACACTTGCGTATATTACTACAGCATCCTACATGTTGCTCGATTGATATCCATTTAAGGTAAAGATATCTGTGCCCGCACTCGTACCTCTAGTCCTGGCCATTCTTATTTAGTCTTTAAATACGAACATTTTAAATTTTCAACACATACAATGTATGCATGTAATTACTATATATATATACATATATATATATATATATATATATATATATATACATATATTTTATATTGAAAATTTAAATATTCATATTTAAAATCTTGGCTTCGGTATACTTTGACTGAAGAGCGTTCGTTGTATCCGCGTGTCAGTGGCTGCGATGCGTTACCACATTGTTACTGCATTGTGCACGGCCGTTTATATGCAGCCTTCGCAAATGACGTGAGCGTTTTCCTAGATTATGTACACGTAGGAAAGCGTTCATATATGAGAAGAGACTTTGGGTAGGGTCCATTAGCGTTGCAAGTGCTTCTCAGAGCGACGGACAATCATATTGGTTGATTTGACACTTTGGAGCATTCGGAGTGTCAAGCGAGCCCTGCCCTTTTTAAGGACGTATATATACGGCTTCTGCAGCGAAACGACCAAAACAATAAGAATGTCCGGGATTAGGTGTGAGGAATTGGTACTTTTACCTTACATTAAACTCGTTGCGAGCACCTTCGCGTAGGTCAAATGAGAGTCAAATCGAGGCGACTAAAATAAAAAAAGAAGTTAGAATTACGAATAAGAGCGAGATTCCGCGATGGGTTTCGTTGTCGTAAAACAAACTCGACCGCGTTATTCCTATTTTTCTCTATTAATTGATTGCGCTGCAATCGACTTTGCGGCGACACTCGTTTTGGTCGGCACATTCAAGTGAATCCAGTCCTTTTACCGCGACATGGATCGCACAATTGAAAAATGGCCACGTCCGGCGTCGCGTTTAATTTACGAAGCCGTTGCGTTAAAGTTGAGTATCCGATGGGTCGCGTTTCATGACTGTCCTCGAGTACTGTCATCGCAGCTTTGCTTTTACTCGACAGCTCTGTTTGACTGATTCGTCGCCGTTTCATTCGGTCGATCTAAATTGACGTCTCGCGCACACACGCGGCTCCTTACGTTTGTTTTAACCGTGATACGACGAGAATAGGAATTCCGGGCGTTACATAACAGGTATCCTCTACATGCCGACATGTCCACAACTACGTAACTGTAACTTCGTATAATATCAATGTACGTGTACGTGCATAGAGCACTACGAACGAGGCGACCACAAACATTGGCGCGCGCGTGAAACAAAAATTTCTCTCTCTCTCTCTCTCTCTCTGTCTCTTTCTTTCTTCCTCCGCGCTTCACACGTGACGTCAACAAGTAGAATTAAACGCGCTCTGTTTCACTCAGTCGGCAACGATAAAAATATTATAAAGTTGAAACAAGTACGAATGCCTCTTTCGTATGCTGCCAGCGTTGTACACTTACATCTGTCGCATTAGCGCGTAACAAAGAAGCCATAGTTTATAACATTATTTATAACTTCGCGAAACGTTATTTTTACCGTGACTGATAGGACAATGTGTGTGTTTATGTATGCGTGCGTGTATGTGTGTGTGAGAGAGAGAGAAAGAGAAAGATGAGCGTGAGGCTGAAAGAGGGAGAATCTCTGCGCGACTATTGTCTATCTGTCGACAACTTCCGTGAAACTCGAACGTTCATATCCGGCATAAAGTCAAAAGAGTGGAAGCATAACGAGTAATCAGTATCGCCGCGAGCATGTTCTCGTGTTACTTTCTTTCTTTTCATTCTCCCGCGGACGGATAGTATACGTGCGTTCTGATTTCAAGAGGTTTACGTAGCGACGTCGAGCGGAAATTAGCGCGAGCACGAGACAAATCGAAGCCCACGTAATAACGAATTTCTATTCTCCACGTTACCGGCCACGATAGTAATACACGTAACACACAAGGACGGCGCCGCTATTATTCATATTGTAAAGAAAAAACAAAAATAATTCACGAGCATTGATATATTATTCGTGCGTATATCTGCGTGTGTGTATGTGATGATGGGTGGATAGATGTGTGTGTGTGTGTGTGTGTGTGTGGTCAAGCGAGGTAGACGATGTACCGAATAAATAGCCGATTTACGTGGTCGCGACTACAGCAACATATACATATACACATATATATATATATATATATATATATATATATATATATATATACATACATATATATATACATATATATACATACATATATATATACACATACGCCGACATCGCACAAGTTTACTTTTCTTTTATCATACGTAAACGTATAAAACGGGTATATGAGTATATGTGTGTGTGTGTGTGTGTGTGTGTGTGTGTGTGTGTAAAATATTGTGATGCAGGTATGTTATATATTATTTGTAAATATGACAGTGTATCAGATTCGTGTTACTTAGGCAAAGCAATGATTTCGACGGCCCCGTTTAAAATTGCGCGTCTCGTAATTGGGATCGATTGGATACGATGAGCAACAGGTAAATGTTAAAGAGAATCGCATTCAATCGACGTTCGATGCTGCCATTCGTTGACGGTCGATCGCGATCGAACGTGATTTGGTCAACGACCAGCAGAGTACATACCACAGAAAGAGAAAGAGAGAGGGGGGGGGGATAGGAAGCGGTCAGTGTTACGCGTAAAACATCAATCCTGAATAAGGAGAAAAAAGAGAAAGATAGGTAAAAAACGCAGCACGTTGTCCGCGAAGCGCATTATTGTTTCGTCCTTAGCAATATTCTTTGTGGACCACGTCGCCGATTATGTAGCCTTAAATAGCGAAAGTGAAAGTAGACGTGTGTAATTGGAATTAGCATGACACACAGAAACGGGGACGCCAGGGGATGATCCGACATACGCGGCAACCGCTGAACAAAAATCTGCAATTGTTAGCCGTTGCGTCAACTATCCGTGTCAGAATTTGACGACCTGCGCGGTCCCCTTCGGTTGCACTAACGTCGATTAGCGATCACGATCGATTCCACCCTCTTCTGTCTACATTGTAGGTGTACTACTATAAAACTATAATGTAGAGAAGAAAAGAGAGGCAACGCGGGACAAAGAGATCTAAAAGATGTTGAGAGGAGAGGGAGGGCATGAGGTGTGTGAAAGAACATCCCCGCGACGTTTCTTGGGGATTCACGCGTTGAAAACATATTTTGATCGGTGCAACTCAGTCTGCGTAATTTAATAACGATAGCAGAGAACTCAATAACTAAGTATCTAATGACCATTTGTTTCGGAATTCGAGACCGTTATGTATTTCCAATGAGAGCACGAAGCGTCTACTGATGGTTGCGCGCGATTAGGACTTAGATGAGCAAATCATTATTGTCGTTAATACTGTTATTCGATAAACAATCTCCTCGCATTGTCGAATTTTATTAAAATAGATAGTATCGTTGTAACATTAATTATTATTGTCATCGTGACGGGCGACTGTCGTGGCGATCATTGTTAAAAGCTGATCTACTGAAAGTAGCGGCTTGAGTGAGTCTTTTGTAACGCTAGTGTCGACGATATTTCGCAGAATCGGGTTAACTGTGCACAAAATCTCGAAAGTTCACACCTCGTGATGAAATCATGATCGATGTTCATAATACATTACGGCACGAGCACGATTTTGCTTTTTGTAAGAGATTTATCATGGAATTTTATATTCTAGTTTTAACGACAGAAAAATACGACACATGTTTCGACCCCGAGAGGGAGCGACAAACGATTACAAAGTGGCGTTTTTACGTTTTTTTGCGACTTCTCGGAAAAACCAAAAGTCTAATTTTACAGTGAACACACTAATGCGTCTTTCATTCGGTCGGGAGCGTTTTGAGGATGAAGGCGTGAGGTTTCTCGCGAGATAAAGTTGTATAGAGCACGCGCTTATATCTGTCACGAATGAGCCGTATTCGACGATTATAGTTTTAAGCAGCGAGCTGCGAGATAATCTGTTAGGTATACGTTCTCTTTGGATGGTTTCATCGGCGGAATCGGAATACGTTTGCGTACTCCCGCGTGCAGTCCGCGACACACGTTATATATATATATATATATATATATATATATATATATATATATATATATATATATATATATATATAT